GGAGGAGGAGGAGGAGGAGGAGGAGGAGGAGGATTCCCGAGGCGCCAGCGTGAGCCGTTCAGCCGGGCTATTGTTTGCTAATCAAAGGGGGCGGTAAGCAGGCGAGGGCTCTCCTCCGGCAGAGGCACGCCGTTGGCCCTCGAGCTCCTTCGGGCCGATGCGCCTGCCAGCCTCTCATCTCTCCCCCAGGCTCTGGACGGTGGCTCGGCGAACGGCAGAGGAACGCTTGGCAGAAACCGGCGCGGGGCTCCAACCGGGCAGCGCCAGAAGGGGAAGCGGGAGCGGGGAGGGCCGAAGGGCGGGAGGCAACTTTCCGCGCAGGTGACACAGAGTTCGCCTCTGGCAAGCCGCGGCGCTGGTTGCGTTTGGGCTCCGGCGCTTCCTGCCTCCCCGCCTCCTGCCCCGGCCAGCCAGCCAGCTGGGCTGCAGGGGAGACCCAGCGCGTCAGAGGAGCCCCTGTTGCCCCGAGGGCCAGAGCGACGTGGACCATGCACCTGGAGGACAAAGTGGCGCTGGTGACTGGGGCAGCCCAGGGCATCGGCAACGCTTGTGCCCAGGCGCTACTGGAGAAGGGCTGCAAGGTAAGGGCGGGCGGGCGCGCGGGGGTGGGGGTGTCCCTGCAGCAGCAGCAGCAGCAGCAGCCGCTCTTCCCGCGCCCTGCCGTTCCCCTTCGCTGCGGAAGGCGTGGGGGAAGCGATCGGGCAGGTTTCGGAGGACGCTGCCTTCCCCGAGAGGCTCCCGAGAGTCCTGCGGCACCTTTAAGCCTAGCGAGGGCTCTCCCCTCCCCAGCCCAGCCTCGGCAGAAGCTTTCGTGGAATAGCGCCCGTGCCGCGCGTCTGCCTTCGTTCCCCGGAGGCTTACAAACTGGGGCCACGTGACTCCTGTTTACATCGCTGTCCCCCGGGAACCGATGCAGAAGGTATGCAGAAGGTACAGACAAGTCTTGTGTCTTCATCATACCTTTCGGCATTCATACATCGATGCAAAATATACAGTGAGTGTATAGACACAGATCTCATAAGAACATAAGAGAAGCCAATGTTGGATCAGGCCAGTCCCGTCCAACACTCTGTCACACAGTGGCCAAAAATACCAGGTGCCAGCAGGAGGTCCAGCAGTGGGGCCAGGACAGTAGAAGACCGCCCACTGTTGCCCCCCCCCCCAGCACCAAGAATACAGAGCATCGCTTGACCTAGACTGAGAGTTCCTATCTATACCTTGTGGCTAATAGCCACTGATGGACCTCTGCTCCATTGGATCCCATTGTGGTATACATGAAAAAAGATGATAGGTTCATGTAAATCTATGTACCTATAAAAACACCGCTAAAGCACCAGCAAAATTGTTTTCAAGGGGCATTGAGTTCCGGTTTAATAAAGGTAGGGATATACCATACTTAACCTTTCCTTTGAAAACAGTGCCACTTGTGCTCAGATCTGATAATTTATGGACATACTGCATACCTTAGAATTATATATGTAATTTCTGCGCACATTATCTAATAAAAAGTTGCAAGGTACACACATTTGCCCAAAGAGAGATCATCATTCTTTCAAGTTGCCTCCCAACAACTAAGGATGGACATACTGATTATTTCTTTACCCTTCTGTGCAATTATTCGCATTCTTCTGGTGGTGGGGGGCATTTCTTTTTCCAAAATTCTTTGTCCTTTTAGAATAAGCATTTCTCATTTGTTTCTTGTTTATTTCTCTTTCTGAGTAAAA